CTGCTTTATATCTTGATACAAAGTACTTGTTCGTACGTGAGCGAGTTGAGGAAAATAAACTTTGTATTGAGCATATAAGTACTAAGAATATGCTTGCGGATCCAATGACTAAAGGTCTCCCTCCTAAGATTTTCGAAGAACATGTTTCGAAGATGGGGTTTTCTAAAGACCTTATTTAGTTGCATATTGTACTTGCTTACATTTAATAATAAAATTTCCTCATACTTTTGTTTGTTTGTCTCTGAATGTGTCTATGCATGCCTAAAGACATATAGACAACATTTATATACAGAATAATGTTATGGGCTTAATTGTCAATTTGATCCTTAGCTTATTTAAGTTTTAAATTTGGTATTGTAGTATGATTAATGGGGGTCTTGAATTGAATATTGATTCAATGACTGTATTTCTCTGCTACAATTTCGGTTTAGAACTAAAATGAGTATTAAAATCTGATCAGACTTATCTAATACTCATCATAAATGATTACTCGGCCAAGTGGGAGAATGTTAGACACGATTTTATTATGTGGCCTGAGTTATCATTTATCTAATTAATTGATCATTGACCTAATAAATATCCTACGTATTTATTTGGTAATTATTCGATGGACGTAATTACCCTTATGACCTAATTAGGGTTTCCCCTTGGGTGTATAAATAGAGGTCATTAGGCAGAGATCAACACACCAATCTTACGCCTCCTCTCTGCCTCTCTATTCTCGTGAGTCTTCCTCGCCTTAGCCATCATAACAATACACCCTAAACGGGAACTCAATCTGTGTGAGAATCATGGCCTCATCCCTAACTACGTTTACAGGATTATCAGGTACACATGATTAAATCCCTAATTTATATTTTATGTTTAAGAATTGATCAACATTTTCAATGTCCCATTCCAAAATCATCTCGCATGAATGCTCTTGTGAAAGTTAGTGTGATTTGGAAAAAATTGTGTCTAGGGAGTGTCTAAAAAACAAACCTCAAGTGATCTAACTCTCTCCCACACTTAGAATTTGTGGTGACCCCACTCTAAACTCTCACACTTGTATCACACATCCTAAAGGCTTCATTCACACATTCCATAACCTTCGTTTTTGTTATGGGATAGAATCACAATAAAATCTAATGAGTTTGTAGTGTGTTTTACAGTTCAGTTAGTGGCTAGAATTGAAGATTAAAAGAAAAGGGAAGAAAATGAAATGTGCAAAGAGCTGGGTTGCCTCAGCTCCAGTACCTTCCCTTTTATAGTATTGGAATGGACCCATCTGAAAAAAGAAGCGAACGAGATTGATAATATCGAAATGGGAAGAACGACTTGTAGTATTTTAGCATATAAAAATGATATATGAAATATATTTTATTCCTAGTTTGATATTCCTCTATTATTATGAAATAAATATAATTGAATTATTTTTGTAAATGCCCTCCGTCTCCATTTAAATTATCGATTTTGGTTTATGATTTTTGACTGAAATTATTTTGGGACAGAGAGAACAATACATAGTATATTTTTTATTTGATAAATATTAAAATTTAGAAAGTAAATATCCTAGGTGAAGCCGAACCATTGTCATACAAAAGGAAAAGGGAAACACAATAAGGCTCTATTTGGTACACGAAACTTGGCGATGAAATTGGAATTGAAGACTTTAATATCAATTCTGTTGTGTTCATATGATTCATTTTTTTGTATCTCTTTAGCTTCTTGTTTTGCTTTATGATTTCTTTCTCTTTATGATTTGTTTTGTCATCGTCCTGTTTCATAAATATCAAGTATTGTTGTTCTTTGTAACATATTATTGACTATTGTAAAATGGGGAAGGTTCCCATGACATTGGGAACCAATGTCATGGGATGACCCGGGGGCGCTCCGGTGCCTCGTTCGTAAAATTGACGGTTCCTACCCCTCCTAACCTCCCAGTAAACCCCCCCACCCCGCCCCAACCCAAACACACCCCCACCCCCTTCAATTGTACTCCACAAGTCGATTTTGACTTTGGAGTCACATTTTGACTACAAAGTCAAAATCGACTTGTGGGGTGCAATTGAAGGGGGGTGGGAGGGTTTGTTCGGGTCGGGGCGGGTGGGGGGTTTACCGGGGGGGTTAGGAGGGGTAGGAACCGTCAATTTTATGAACGGGGCACCGAAGCATCTCCGGGGTCATCCCATGACATTGGTTTCCAATGTCATGGGAACCAAGGGGTTGTAAAATATAGCAATATTATCATGCGTGATCAACAACAAAATACCAAAAGAAAAGGAGGGTACGAGCAATGGACAACCCAACAAATGTATATATAAATAATTCATTGATAATAAACAATTTATCACAATCTTATAAAATCCTGCTAACAAAATACATTGAAATCTATCTAACTCTGCATAGATTTTAAACAATCCACTGACTTTACAAAATCTATGGATTCAAAATAATCTTTCAGAATCTTTAAAAATCTAGATTGAATACACCCCCTAAATCCAAATCTTCAACTCTACATTTTAAATTCCATAACACTGGAAAAGAATTGAAAATCAAAATTTTAATTCTATGGATCAAAATCAAATCACACATATCAATTCTAGGTTATAATAAAGAAATGGATTTTAAAAATTTAAAACTAAAAATTTAAAATCTAAAATTTAAATTTAAAATATTAAAATTTAATATTTAAAATTTAATAGTTAAAAATTTAAATAAAAAATGTAAAATTGAAATTTCAAAAATAAAATTTTAAAATTTAAAATTCTGTATAAGAAATTTAAAATTAAAATTAAAATGTACTCCCTCCGTCCATTTTTAATGTTCAGACTTTGACTTGGCACGGAGATTAAGAAAGATTAAATTTTACATTGACTTTCCAATTATGCCCTCCCCAATTTCCTGTCCCACTCTATGGTCACCCACTCCCTCAATGTCCGATCCGACATCTTCCATCGCTGGAATAGCCCCGCCGCCCAACCCTATCATCCAAAATCAGACAGGTTCCAGCGACCCATCGCAGAAAAGGATGGAAAAAAGATGAAGAAGACTTGCAGAAGAGGATCCTTCACAGATCTGAATTATATTTCATAGATCTGGGACAAATCCGAATAATCCGAAGAAGAAAATGAAGAATCCGAAGAAGAAGACGAAGAATCCAAAGAATCCAAAGGAGAAGATGAAGAATCCGAAGGAGAAGACAGAGAATCCGAAGAAGAAGAAGAATATGATGAATAAGAAGAAGAATCCGAAGAAGAACAAGAATTCGAAGAAGAAGAAGGAGGAAGAAGAGAAGAGAAAAGAAGGGAAGAGAGAGAAGAGGAAGAAATCTGATAAAGAGCAAAAAAAAAGCACCGAAGTGGAGAAGGAAAAAAGAAAGAAGGAAAGAAGAAAAGAGAAGAAAAAAGAAGAAAAAAAGAGGTTGGGTGGGGTTGGGGTGGAGGGTGGAGGAAAAGAAAAAAAGGAGGATAGAAATAAAGTAAGGGTAATTGGGTCTTTTGGTATAAAAAAGATTACCAAAAAAGGAAACACGAACATTATTTATGGACGGACTAAAAAGGAAAGTAAGAACATTAAAAATGGACGGAGGAAGTAATAGCCTGAAAGTCCTCCATCCAGCTCCTCTGTAGAAAATTCCCAAAGTACTCCGTTTGAGATTGTGGCAGTCTTCTCTCTAGAAAATTTCAGGCAGAGCCTGTGAAACAGTGCTTAATAAGTTCATATTCAACTCATAAAGAGAGGCACTGCAGGTCTGCAATAATTTTCTCTTTCTATGAAATTTCCTATTTTGGTGTCAATTCGAGACGCTTCCTTACATGGGAGAGATACAGTAATTTGTAGGCATATACAGTATACAAACACCCATAAACCCAACACCTTTCTCGGTCTTATTTTAAAATTGTACACTTTGGAGCTGGATCAAAGTCAATTTCGATCACAATTTTGTTCTGCGAATTTTAGCGGAAGAGGGATAGCTTAGATTTGGGTTCTTACCTATATATACTGTCTACGAACACACATGGTTTTCAAGATTTTCGGCTGAGTTTTGGTGAGGGGATAACCTGTGTATTTGCGTACACACTCAGATCATATCATTACGTTTATGGTCTAGGAAGGTGCACTTATAGTTTGGGAGTAAAAATGGTTAGTGGAAAGTTGTTTCACTGTAGAAGGAACTCATGGCCTCCTGAAGAATACATCAATCGTACAACTTTACAACTTGTAAGCCATCCTCCCTCGTTTATTTTTATTATTCATGACTTTTTATTTATGATAGAATTCTTATAAGTTCCATTGGTTAAACCTTGTCACTTTCTGAGCCCCCCTTCTCCTCTGACTTCTCATGCTCGCTCTGGTGAGACGATGATCATTTATGTGTTGTGTGTATTCATAAAAATATATGCTAGTGTTTTGCAGTCTTAGAGCATTTATTTCAGCTCGGCCAACGGTGCTCCTATGTTTCGGGAAACGTGATTTCATAAAAATGGAGAATAGTCTTATTTTAAACATAGTGAATTGAACTTAAATAAAAACAATCCTGAACATGGACACTGTAAGTGCATTCAATTTATTAGTGGAATCAAATGAGATTGAAATTCGTGTTTTGCAAATGAAATAGAGGGTGTTTCATCACAATTGTGGTGTATTTGATTTTCCACATAGAATTGATTGGAAGTTTATAAAATAAAGAAATAAAGTGACTAAAATAAATAATGCTTTGGATGGAGAGAGAGGGGGGGGGGAGGGAGAGCGAGAGAGAGAGTATCGCTGCCCAACAAATGCCTAGTTAACACTCACTTGCACCCATACAATAGCTATTTAAAAAAATAATCCCTCTATTTCTTTTGTCTTTGCCCATTTCGGTGTACGATGTTATTTAGGAAATTAGTGTAAATAAATAAAAATTAATTTGTCTTTAAGACCTATATAAGAAGTTCTTCGTATGAAGTGGGATGACTATATACCTTTTTAAAATAAGCACGGAAACTAGGCAAATAAATACGGAGTATGATAAAGTTTGAACCTGTGAATAGTTAATGATCCAAATAGAAAGAAATGGAGGGAGTACATAATTTGGTACCATAATTTTCTGTCTTGGAAGCCTAGTACCTTCTGTCATTCTCCATTGCCTTTTTTGGCTTATTGTGTGATTTTTAATGAAAAACAAGATAATGAAATGGACTATTTATCAAGCTGGGCTGGTTTTGTCAAATTATTTCAAAAAATTTAAAAAGAGTGAATTAAGAAAAGTAAAATGTTATTAGAGTTCAAATTTGGAAAGTGAAAACTAGTTTTTGGATGGGCTAAAAGCACAGTAGGACCCATAAAAGCCTAAAAGGTGATTTAGGGAGTATTTCCATAAAAATACTAAAAAGGTGAATGATTCTCTAATAATATGTTTGTTAAGGATGACCAGGAGTGCCTAGCGCCTAGGGGGTGTAGCTGGTCAAGCGCCTAATGGAAGGCAATTTTGAAGTGTTAGCTTCTGCCTAGGGGCGCCTAGGGCCTAGTTGGTCGCTTATACCGATTAATTCAACACTGATTCAATTTGGCCTTTCTTCCATTTAGTCAAAGTGATGGCATTTTGATTTGGTACTAAGTGTTATTAACGATTGAACATTGAAGGATTTGATTAAGCTTTCATTATATTCTTTTTGTTGTTTTATTTTTCTTGGATTAAAAGATCAAAAGCAGTTCTTAATTTTATTTGGTTTAGTTTGGTATAGATACTAACAGTGATTCTATCTTTGGTCTTTTTTTTTGGTTTAGTTTGATTCAGACAGTGCTTCTCCACCATCTCAAGCCTGGAGAAGGAAATTAAACACTCATGCCAGCATTCTTAAAGAATTTAGTGTTACATTTACAGAAGCAATAAAAGTGGTACGTATTTTTTCTTTTATAGGATCATTTATCAATTGCAGAATCTGTTTATATAAACCATGAATCAATTATCCATGTGCTCACCATTCTTTGTCTTTTTTACTGATTTCTCTCCCTGTTTGTAGATTCGTCTTGGCATACGTTTGTGGTCATATGTAAGAGAAGAGGCCTCCCATGGAAGGGTAACTCTCACCTTTAGCTACACTTCTGTTAATATTATCATTTGAATTGAAGGAGTGGACAAAGCTCTCTTGTACTTGTTAAGTGAATCCGTGGATCAATCCCTGCTTTGGACTTTTGAGGGCTCAACTTTAATTTTCTTTGTTCAGAAAGCACCAATTGATCCTTTTACTCGAGAACGTTGCCGGCCATCAGCTTCCCAGGGTGTTCCACTTGGAGGCATGGGGTAAGAAGGTGAACAATAAAATAACATTATCAATTAGGCAAAGAAAAATAAAGTACATGTGATGATGGTTCAAATATAAAATACAGGAGTGGAAGCATATCGAGAGGTTTTAGAGGCGAGTTTAGGCATTTTCAAATTCTTCCCGCAACATGTGAGACTTCTCCGGTCATGGCCAATCAATTTTCAGTAAAGCCCTACTTTGATTCTTTCGAACTTTCAATATATCCTGTTATCTGTTATGAAGTAGATATTACTTGTTCACATTTGGCACCCATACATAATGGCATAAAGCATAGAGCATGATCTATATATGCAAAGTACTCGTGTAACATAGTGAAGGTTGTTATTAACTCTTGGAGGGCTGTAAAATTTAATGATTTTCCTGAAATCACCTTGCCATAACACATGACACATTTTCTCACGATGTGGTCTTTTCCTAGTTCAGGCTTCTAATTATTATATAAGCAGAGAACACATTTTCTCATGACCTATCTATGTTCTTTTCGTAGTTTAGACTTCTAGTTATTAAATAAGTTTTCATCATACATTCAGAAGAATTCTTAATAAACGTCAGTAATCCTATTCCCAAAGTGATTTTGGAGTTATATATAATGCACAATTGGCCAAGTTACACAAACAACGACAACAACAACTAATCCAGTATCATCCCAACTTCATTGCGGTCTAGGGGGTCAAGGTATACACAACAAAGATGTCTTTTCCATTAGACTGTTGACGCATTGCTGCACTTCTCAATACTTCATAGAAACTACTTAGAAAGTATGAAATATGGAAATTGTAAATGTGTCATTTTGATTTAGTCCATTATTTAACTTAAGCATAACAATATATAAAATGACTCTTTTAGCTCCATTGGCAATGGGCAAAAGGCCATGTTACACAAGCAATGGATGTAATTTGTTTTCTTGAGTTCTAAAACAACATAATGATACACCAAATTCATTCTCTATCATTATGCTTCATAAATGATTATTTTTGAAAGCAAACAGGACAGTACTTATTAGGGGTAATTAATTAAAAACAACAATAGATACTTAATAAGAAACAAACAGTGCCACATAAGATCGACCATTGATCTTTAAAAAGGTGTCTTGTAATAGGGAATGGAGGGAGTACAAGTTACCCAACATACGGAACTATCTATTACTTTTAGTAATCCTTTCCATATATAGGCAATTGAGGTTGGATTTGGGATTAGCAGGTGAGGTTGGAATTGGTGGCTCTAAGCCCCTGTGAGGATATGTGTAAGCATGACCTCTGATAAGAGTTATGTATTAAGTTTGTAGAAACTTTGTGGCGGTGGAGCGTTTGTGCTATTGGCGATTGGACCTTCTCAGCTCATTGTTGTTTGGTTTTATTGGGTAGATGTTAGCATCCTCTTTGTTTATTACTCCATGTTTTTTATGGCTTTACACTGCTCACACTACTTTTCATTGAATGTCAAGAGTCGCAAAACATCCTATATACTCTTAGAGAATTGTGTGTGCATACATTCCCCCCTCCCTTCCAATGACCATACTTCCAACTGGGATATACTAGGAATATTTGGTTTGGGGACAATCATAAGAATATATATTTCTATCTGCTAAGGGTTAGAAAAAGAATACTTTGCCATTTTAACCCCTATCATGGCGCTTTTAATTTATGTTTGGAATGCTCTATGATAATAAGGAACGTCATGAGAGTAGTTTGTGGTACTTTTGTAGAGATACTGTGAGGAGTGTTACTCTTTTTCACTCGGTTATGACATCTATTAGTTTGCCAGATTTTCATATCTCGAGATGGAGGAAACAAGAAGTATGCATCAGTTCTATCACCAGGCCGCCATGAAGGATTAGGGTAAGCAACTAACTAATGCAGTAGATGTTTTTTCATAGAAACTACCCTAGATTGTTCACTCTGTGAATTGCCTTAATTAGTCACGAAGAGTGAGTTTAGTAATAGGGTATAGGATAGAAGAGGTATACTAAAGGATACATGGAAAGTAATTGTTTTGCAAGGGTTTATAATATACGTAGTATTACTCTTTCAAAAACCTGAAAGTAGAATTCTAAAATTTGATCTTAATATCCAACAACAGCTATTCTTAGTGATGATAATAATAGTAATAATAATAATAAATAATTAATAAATAATTAATAAATAATATTATTATAAAATTACACAATAAAATTAAGAAGTCAATGTCATGCACTCGCTAGTTTCAAAAAAAGAATCCAAGAAAATTCCTGCCACTAATTTCTTTATTTGTGAGTGTAGGAAAGCAAGTTCCACTTCTCCTGCTAAGAACGAAATATTTGACAGAAAAGAAGAACTCTAAAACACACCACCTCAACTTCAAACATTCACGACCAAAAAAAGAAGAATGCAAGAGAAAGAAGGCAGGAACCAGAAGAAAGAAGAAAAATCCTACTTTAGCACCATATTCTCCATACCAACAAGTCTCTTTAGTCTCATTGACTAAGCCCTAATGCTTCCACATCAATCTCATCTTCTTTGAGAGGATTTGCCCTCAAATCTTCACCATCCAAGTCGGGTGATAAATCACGTACATTGAATGTCCGAGACACTTCATAATCCCTGGGCAATTCAAGCTTGTACGAACTAGAGCAAACTCAAGCTTGTAAGCACTAGGGCCAATTCTCTCAAGCACCATGTAGGGACCCTGCCCTAGAGATGAGCTTGTTCTTTCAATAGCATGGAAACCTCTCTTTCACCAGATGGATCCATACAAGTTCCTCACTTTGAGTTCCAATTCTCTTCTATTTTTGTTGGTGTTTGTCCTGTACATCTTATTAATCTTTTCACATCTTATTAATCTTTTCAATCCCTTAATCGGAATGCGATGCAAATCCTATGTGGTTGCGATGGGTGAGTGGACTGACGAGACTGGATAGGATTTGGAATCATGTTATCTGAGGACGGGTTGGAGTGCCACCTGTTGTGGATAAGTTATGGGAAGCTAGGTTGAGGTGGTTAGGGCATGTGCGGTGGCGGAGTGTTGAGGCCTCAGAGCGGAGATGTGAGATGCTTACGATGGTGGCAGGAGTAGGGGATGGGGTAGACCTAGGAAGAACTGAAATGAGGTGATTAGTCGGGACCTTTAAGTAGGAGCATTTGGAGAGCGAGGACTAGGGTAGTTGGGTAGGCTTTTGGGCTTGGTGTTTTCTGTTTTCTACTTTTGCTTGTTGCTCTTTCCCTTCATTAACGCTAGTGTACTCTTTGCTACTTTTTTTCCGAGCTGTGTGCTTTATTTGCCTTACATGCTCAGTATGTGCCAATATGTTGCATGTGTTACTCAAGCTGGGGTCTCTTGGAAATAGCCTCTCTACTTTCAAGTAGGGGTAAGGTCTGCACACACACACCCTCCCCAGACCCTACTTTTGCAGGATCAAACTGGGTTGTTGGTGACCCTTACTTGATCATGAAGCTTCCTCATGCTCTCTGTTCTCTCTTTAGCTTCAAAAGAAATCACCTCCTCTTTTTCGAGAGGATTATGTCCATTTACTACATCAAATGGAGAATGACCACTACATAGTTTTGAAAGGCGAGCACCTCCCTCGCCTAAGGCGCCTCAGGCATTCGGGCGACCTTATACTGCCTCAGGCGTTTGAGGGGCTATCCGCCTTTCTCGCCTGAGTTGTTTGCCTTTCTCGCCTTACTGGCTATGAGCCTTTTAAAAAATGAGCTGGCATTTTTAAATACATTTTTATATGTTAAATAGTCATTTTTTTTGAGAAACATATGTAATAACTACTCTAATTGTTTTGTTTAACATGTATGACTTGCTTGGGATTTACATTATTACTGGCACTGCACTATATATTTTATGTATGTGTTTGCATGCCCCAAGTTTGCCTTTTGGCCGCCCGCCTCTCATCTCTCGCCTTTCAAAACTATGGATCACTAGCATATGTAGGTGACATATAAGAGTCAAATTCCAATCTTTGCATGTCTTGCTAAATTTCTAACCAGCCCCTTCTTTAATGCAATCAGTTATAGGAGCAATAATTGATGCAAAGTTGCGAATGAACCTCACATAGGAAGTAGCCAAACCTTAAAAAGGCTTTAGCTTCTTGGCAGTTTAAGGTTGAGGTTGCGAATGAACCTCACATAGGAAGAAGCCAAACCTTAAAAAGGCTTTAGCTTCTTGGCAGTTTAAGGTTGAGGTTAGCTTGTCACATCTTCAATCTTAGGTTGGTACACACTCATACCCCATTTGCTTGCTTCCATAGCTATTTCTGAATCGCTTTGATTAGCACCAAGCTCTCTTTGTTAGGCTTAGCCTTGAAAGTAGCATATCTTCATTGGGTGTCATAGGGAGTAAGGTTATGACCATCCTATCCTTCTCTAAAAGTAGATATTCTTCTTCCCATCATGCTGACTCATGTATCAAACATCCATAGTTTCCTTAGAATGATATGACAAACATCATCCATGGGAATGACATCACACAGCCCCTCTTCTCTGAACTGATTGCGAATGGAGAAATTCATCATTCACCTCTTGGTTAGTCTTGAAATGTCTTATATCCGTTGCTACACTGAGCAATTGGGTTATTCTGTTGTAATGGGCTTGACTCGTTTTCTGTTTTCTGTTTGGGCTCAGCCCACATTTCCTCTTTGTTATGGGCTTGGCCCTTTTGTATATAAACACATATGTAACCCTAATTGTTCATAATCTGACAAAGGTTCAAAGTACACATGCTCAAGAGGGCACAACGACACACGTTCAAACTTGAAGTTGAAATATATTTGAAATTTTGAAGTGAAGTTCTAATTTCTTTAAAAGTTAAAAGTTTTCATGTCAATAATACACTTAAAGGTCTTTTAGCTCTCTACAAAGTAGTGATAAAAAAAAGTGAATGCCTTCCTACTCTCAAAACTGAAGTAATGAGTGGAAATAAGATACCGTTGCACGTAGACATAATTTATTTAATCATACAGGAAGCATAATGATCATGGCATCTCTTCATGGGGCTGGAACCTGAGTGGCCAGCACTCCACTTATCATGCATTGTTTCCTAGGACTTGGACCATCTACGATGGTACGTCTCTGATATGTGCTTTTCTGCTAAATAAAAGGATTGGTGCAAATTTTCCAAATCTTGTAATGTTATCGGTTGATCTTCACCTATTGATCCAGGTGAACCCGATCCTGAACTTAAAGTGTCTTGTCGGCAGATTTCCCCGTTTATTCCGCATAATTACAGAGAAAGCAGTCTTCCTACATCTGTTTTCGTATATACCGTATGGATAATTAACATTTTATATTAATTGTTTGAGAATGCTTCATTTTTTTCTCTGAATAAGATATAAGCAACAAACTGATGGTTTCCTCATTCTGTCATGCATGTAGATTATTTGGCACCTCATTATCATGGTAATGGACTAATGGGTAAATTCCACCACTGTTAATAGTCTAGTTAATGATATGATCCTTAAAAATCAAATATGAAATTAGCAAAAACTGTCTTACAGAAGGGCTACAACAACCAACCCAGTAGAATATCATAGATGGCGTCTGGGGTGGGTGTACGTAGATCTTACCCCTGCCTAGAAAAGGTAGATAGGCTATATTATAAAGACTTGCAGGACTTGCAACTGTATCATATTATCATGTTATTGCTCTAATTCTCTGACAGTTATTATTCATGTGTTTCTTATATTGTGATCATTGTTTTCATTGTAGTTGGTGAATACAGGGAAGGAAAGGGCTAAAGTCAGCCTCCTTTTTACATGGGCAGTAAGTGTGTCCTCCCTATGTGGCTTCATTGCTATGAACAACGGGTGCTTCAAAAAACAGCCACACGATTTTTGGTGCGGGTGCGGCGGTGCAGCTGGTCGGGATGCGGGTGGTTAGTTTTATATTGTTTTTTAATCTTGGGTGCGGCTAGGTACTTTTGAGACATTTAAGTGGTTTGTGTTTGATTTATTTAAAATTCGACAGTTGTTATATCTTGTGAATATTTTGATCATAAATACATGTATCTTACAAAGAAATGAATAATACAAATAAAAAATGTATAAATAAATTTGCCGCACCCATTGCTGCACCCACACCCTGTTTTTTTTTCAAAATTTCCGCACTCACGCACCAGTCGTGCACCCGCACCAGTCGAGGCACCCGCATTTGTGCTTCATAGCTTCATTGTGGTTTAGTCTCTGATGATATCAGCTGCACCACATTCAGTCCTGTTTCTTTTGTACAGAACTCAATTGGTGGTGCGTCACACCTGTCAGGAGATCACATTAATGAACCATTTTTGTGAGTTCTATTTGCACATTCCTTGCGTGTGTTACCAAATATCTCATTTGGTTTTGTTTCTGAAATTTTCTTTCTACTGGATTACAGAGGTGAAGATGGAGTCTCTGGTGTACTTCTACATCACAAGCAAGTTTCTAACCTTACTAGCTATATGATAATTGGTTTGCTTATACCATTAGCTTTTGTTTAGTTTTCTTGTTGCCTTGTTGAAGAAAGTGGATGCAAGCTGTATTTACTGATGGTAATTAGCCGAACAACTATGGCGACGAAAAACGAATAATAACGATAATTAATCAATCTTGATGGTTTTCTAATTAGTTTGTGTATATCAGTGTTTTTACTTGGTTTACAATGGAGGGTTCTCCCTCTATTTATACTATATTATGATTACAAACATAATGGGCACTCATCGTGTGCATAAACCTCACCATTATCCCTCGCACGTCGATCGTGGTGGTTCACCATCTCAACCCCCGATCTTCCCACAATTTGGTGCAGTACAGTCTCCCTTCGTTAAACGTTTGGGCTTATCGACGGGAACTACGGAACTGGGCCTTTTGTTTCCTGTTTACCAGCCCTTGTTCCGTACCGACCCAAGTCGCTCTTGTGGACTGGGTCGTTCATTTACGTCTATTGGGTCCGGATATCCATCACAACCCCCTAGTTTCTTAGCTACACGTTGCTAAGGAACTACAGTTGTGGCGCCCTTGGTCTGAGCGCTGGTTAGGAAATAATTGTATTTCCCACTCTTTGCTCCGAGGTGTGTCATTTTCATTCCCGCTCCAACTCGCTATCCTTTTTAGGTGTCTGCACTAGTCCGGATTCGTCCCCAATTTTCTATGCGAATTCCCCAATCTTCTACGAAGGTTTCCTGCAACATGGCCCAATCCGTTGAAATTGCTCACCAAGAACTCGGCCCCTCCAAGATCAAGAGCTCTGAACTCGCTCTCATGCGCGATCTCTTGGGAGTGCCTTTCAAAATCCATCATTCGGATCCCGTCGGCGGGATATTACTTACCCACAATCCGGCGCCGGAATGTTTTATGGTGATGCATTACAATTCGATTATTCACGGCTTTAGACTTCCACTCCACCCCTTTATCCGTGAGGTGTGCAGAAATTGGGATCTTCTCTTCACAGCCAATGCGCACAAATATCTGGTATCCTACATCTTGCGCTGCTGTGAGCCTGTGACAAGCTTAGGACCCCTTCTGTGAGGGATTTTATGCACTTCTTGGCTTCAATTTCTTGTCGAAGTAGGACATAACTTGTCTCTTATAGTTCTCCGCCTGGATTCGGGCTTCCTCCCTCCTTTCTTCCAAGAAGTTCAATTCTATTGCTTAGTTCTCCTCGTTTCCTTGTGGATCATACCGTTGTTCCCTCCAGGTGGGGAACACAACTTCCATCGGTGCCCGGGCTTCAAAGCCATACGCCAATCCAAATGCTGTGTCTCCGGTGGCTCTCCTGGGAGTTGTCTGGTATGCCCATAAGATTCTAGGCAACTCATCTACCCAACTACCTCCTTCAGCCCGCAGCTTCTTCTTTATCCCATCCAAAATTGTGCAGTTTACATTCTCCACTTGTCCATTAGCCTCTGGTTACGCCATTGAGGCCTTGCCGTGCCGGATCCCCCAGGTCTTCAAGAATTGGGTAAACTTTATGCTCTCGAACTGGGTTCCGTTGTCAGTGACTATCCGGAAGACCCATCTATCCATATCAACCACCATCCTTTCCCTTTGTCCCAGGTCATCTCTAAACGCCTGGTCTGCTCCCTAGCCGTACATTCATTCTGGAAGTCGGCCAGCGCCTGCCCCTTAATCGAGGGCGTGGCTTGAACTCAACCTTATATTGGCTCAAGAAAATAGCTGATTTGATCATCGGGTTGAGGCCGTCGGCCTCCAGGAAAGGGAGGCCTATGGTTCACTCGTCAATACATTCACCGGGTGCCCTTGAAAATATGGGATCAATCTTTTTGTCGTCTAGTAGACTGCCAACATTGCCTTCTCCGGACATGAGTATCTCAACTCCGCATCCCTCAATATCTTACTGACATATTAAACTGAGTGCTGTACTCCGTCCTCTTCTCGTATTATAACTGTGCTCTCTGCACAGTCTAAAATGGCAAGTATAGAATCAAAGTGTCACTTGGCTCAGGTTACCTCTTCAACTCCTCAAATGCTTCCTGGCACTCCTACGTTGATTCGAACATTGCCTTTTTCTTGATTACGGTTAAAAAAGGATGACCTTTTTCCACCCGTTTGGACAAAAATCTGTTCAAGGCAGCCAACCTCCCAGTTAGCCGTTGTCTTCGGGAGTTCCATCTCCAAGATCACTTTCACCTTTTTTGGGTTTGCTTCAATCCCCTTTCAGCTCACCAAGTGTCCCAGGAATTTCCCCCCTTGTACCGCAAAGGTACACATCTTAGGGTTGAGTCGGAGATTCACCTTCATCATGATCCCAAACACCTCTTAAGTCCCGGACGTGGTCTCAGGCTTGTCTTGATTTCACGATCATGTCGTCCAAATAAGCTTCCATGATCCGGCCCAGGACTAGTCTGAACACTTGCAATACCATTCGGGTATACGTAGCTGCGGAATTCCTCAAACCAAAAGCCATTGCCAGATAACAGTTCAAACCCTCCAGAGTCATGAAACCCGTCTTCTTCACATCTGAATGCATCCATGAAACTCATCAACTCGCGCACCCTGCACTTTTATCCACCATTTGATCTATGTTCGGCAGCGGGAATGGATCCATTGGACAGGCCTTGTTTAGGTCCGTATAATCCACACACATCCTCCAAGATGGAGGCTTAGGCGCAAGGACTACGTTGGCCAACAATTCCGGGCACTGGATTTCGAATGTGTCCAATGCTTTGTAGCGTGGCTACCTCCTTCTTGACAAACTCTCTCCTTTCTTGAGCAAGATGCCTCCTCTTATGATTAATCGGTTTTGCTTCTAGAAGGGCATTCAAACTGTGGACAACGATCTTATGGTCGAGTCCGGGCATGTCTGCCGAACTCGGAGCAAAAACCTTCCTAGAACCTCCTAAGTACTGCAATCACCTGGGACCGGAGTTCAGCCCCCCAGACCCTTGCCTATCTTGACCAACTTGTCTGGTTTGGTCGGCTCCAAGCTTACCTCTTCTACATCTCCTGTCCACATGGGGGCGTTTCTCCTCCGCCTTCAGCAACTGAGAGGTTACTTCTCCCACCTGGGTGTCGAACTTGACTGGCTCCTTGGTTGCCTTGAGATACCATGCTCGGGATACCCGGGCCACACCTTCCCCGAACAGTGTTGGAAACTTGACGCATAAGTGCTTGGGTGAGATTACGCACTCCAGGTCCTCCAGGCCTGGTCTGCCTAAGATTACGTGTGTACTGGAGATGATCCCAACCACCACGAATTCCATGTCCAACGACCTTTTCTCCTTAGTGTCACGTACCTCCACTGATAGGGTGATAACGCCTTCCAGCTCGATAGATTCTCCGATGAACCCGGTCAAGGGAATCTTAGTGGGCAGCAGTTCCTCTCGAGTAAACCCCAAGGCCTTGAAGGTGTCCATATACATGATGTTCACGGAACTTCCCGTATCCACTTATGTTTTGTGGATTAGCAAGTCCATGATATCAATTGTGATTACCAGGGCTATGAGGGACTCCAGTCTGTAGTAAATCCGCACTAGAGAAGGTAATGGGTTCAGTTTTGATTCTCTTACCTTCAGGCGGGGGAGCTATAACTTTGTTCACTGAGACTCTATTCGCCCACTTCTTCCTGTTGGTGGCCGAATCTCCCCCCATATTTCCTCCGATGATGTAATTACACCCATGGTACCTCTTCTGCCCATTCGGAGTTAGTTCCGAATCCTCGTCTTCTCCCTTCTCTAATCCAATATGTTTCTTATTCCGGGACTCCACCCTAGCAACCTTACCCTCCTTACGTCTCCTGGGTTCAGAGTTTCGGGTTTCCTCCTCAGAATGGTCCTGGGCAAACTTCTTCAGATTTCCTCTCCGGATCAGCCGGGCCATTTCGTTCTTCAGGCTGTGGCAATCTTTCGCGTTATGATCATTCTTCCGGTGATCCGGCACCATTTTCCTGTTTCCTCCACATTACACACCTTCTGGGAGTGAGTGGGGTAGGTCATAAGACCCTGCTAGGCAGCGTGCGTCATCACTTCCCCCATTGGGATGGTGAAAACCAGATTGTTTGATTTGGAGGCATAAGCAGATCCGGCCGACTAACCCTTTGGCCCATTGGAGAAACCCGACATCTTTCCTTTATGCGGCTTCCCCTTCTCCCTGTTTTGCCCCTCCTCATGGGATTTCTCCTTTTCCTCCTTGCGTTTTTCAAGGGTGTCCTGTGGACTGGGCCGTTCATTTACGTCTATTGGGTCCTGATATCCATCATATACGTACATCTTCAAGAATGTATTAGTGATACATTAATTTAGGCTGATCCATCTAATATGGTAAAAGACGAGGTATACAAATATATTTAATTCTACAAATATAAAATGAGCTTTTGTAGGGTTATTGATTGGAAGTCAAACTACCTTTTTATTAGTTTTCCAATACTATTCTCCAATTGGATGGTTTCTAAATAGAGTTCATTAATCCATCTGAAATCTATATGGAAACAAATACGACTGTTAAAGCAAAGCATCTCCACCAAACTAAATACTAATTGTAAACTAAGAGATACAATAATACTATAAATCTATAATAGAATGATGATGATTGTGATTTTTGTCTTTACTACTGTTTCCTTGGCATTTCTAGGGTTCAATTATAGCTCTATGTCACTACATCTCATATATTTGCTCCCCATAAGTTAAGTATGAAAAATAAATTGTATGGAGTATTTCCTCTATTAAGATCACTGCTTCAACATCAGTTTTTGCTTAAACTAACAAACTTGGAAATTTGGTTGGTTGCAGGACCGCGAAAGACAATCCTCCTGTCACATTTGCAATTGCTGCATGTGAGACTCAAAATGTGAGCATCTCGGTGCTACCATGTTTTGGTTTAACTGAAGGAAGTTGCATTACAGCTAAAGATATGTGGGGCAAAATGGAACAGGTAATAATAGGACTATCATGGTAACTTCACATCGTTATTCATATCGAAGCAGTTTGATTGTATAATTTGTCTTCTATTGCACGAATCCTACCTCTAGTGGTTTGCAGCAATGGAACTAATTCATTGTTTTGACTGGTCAATACCTTAAGGATGGGCATTTTGATCGAGAGAACTTCAACAAGGGCCTAAGTATGCCATCGTCACCTGGCGAGACTCATTGTGCAGCAGTTTCTGCTTCTACCTGGGTTGAACCCCACGGGAAATGCACTGTTGCATTTGCTTTAGCATGGTCATCTCCTCAAGTAAAATTCATGAAGGGAAAATCGTATTTTAGGTATTTCTGCTCTCAAGAACTTGCCTTGCATCACCTTTGCTATTTCTGCTTGAGCCGGGGGTCTCTTGGAAACAGCATCTCTACTTAAGAGTAGAGGTGAGGTCCGCGTACACACACCTTCTCGAGACCCTACAATCGTTGGATCCAACTGGGTTGTTGATTCTTCACGGATTTTCCTTTCTGTTTTTGGAATAAAAATTATCAGATAAAGAAATTGTTAATCCCTGAGAATCTTTGATTTAGTGATGCGAGTTCTTCTCTTTTACCACCACTTTTCCTAAATAAGCCCATCAAGAACAAACAAAAATTTCATAGAAATGCTAATCCAAAGTTTTGTTATATTTTCATTCCGTACTTAATAACAGTTAAATATATTATAGACTGCTTTCCTTGTTGTCTTCACCATCGTCTGTTTAGCTATCTTGACCTTATGTTTTTGTTTTCTCAAATATTATATTTTTCTTGTCACAGGAGGTATACGAAGTACTATGGCACCTCTGAGAAGGCTGCTAAAGATATAGTGCATGATGCATTGACAAGTTAGTAGAGCATGTCTCGCCTAAATTAGTTTACTTTGTAATAAATGTACTATAAATTGAAGAGTACAACTATACGTTCTGTTTGGTGAGCGAAATAGTATAGTACAACTATAGGTCCTGTTTGGTGAGGGAAATAGTGTTGGAATGAAATGAGTTTTGATCTCTGGACGGAATGGAATTGGCTTTGAAATCTGGAACGAAACTGTTTGGTGAAAAACTGAAATGGAATCAAATGAAACACGATTATTTGGTAAAGACTTGGAATGTCTTATCTCTAGAACATGATTGTTTGGCCTACCACCATAGCCGGCAGTGTCAGAGCCAACAATTCAGTGGTGGTGGGGTGGCAATGCACTTGTAGTGCTGGTTGGCCGATGATGAAGAAGGTGATGGTGGACAGGTGGTTGGCCGATGATGAAAGACCGGTGACAGTGGTGCTTGTTGACCAGCAATGTTTATGGTGGTTGGATGGAGGGGCGACGGTGGTTGTTGGATGGTGGTGGCGGTTAGCATGGTGGTATTGAAAACCAGGTCGCATCAACGGGTCAGTGATGGAATTGGTGGTGGGTCGGCGGCGGCAGGGGTGGTCGTGGGCCAGTAGTGGCGGTAGAGAACCAGTGGTGGAGGGAGATAACAAAACATCTCCGATTGGTATCTTCCAATTTCTGGAGATTTCAAAACATCCTCTTTTGGAGGGGTTCTGATATCACGAGATATCAAGTCTGAACCTCTTTTATGTTTCATTAAACACTTGACAAAGGAGCTTGATATCTTAGACATCAGGGAATCCATATCTCTTTCGCTTGCCAAACAGGCGCTAAAGAATTTAAAGTTGTGCAGGTTAAAAATTCCTAATCTTAATTCATTTATCTTTTTAGAGGAACTTTTTCGTGCTCAAATTAAGATATATTTTAATTTAACTTTTTTAAATCTTGATCAGATTATAAACTGTGGGAAGAAGAAATTGAGAAATGGCAGCATCCTATACTTAATGATGAAAAACTCCCAGAATGGTAATGTGGTTAGGTTCTTCCAAATTTAGCAAATATTGACATCTTTTTACATGAAATGAGGCTTTATGAAACTTGTTTGACGGTAACCGTTGGTCTAAGCCCAAGGATCTTTTTCCCAAGAACTTGCTTCTTGGTCGGTGGTATCCGTTAAACAGGCAAAGAATGGAAGTAAAGATTACGCGGGAATAATCGTGGAAATGAGTAGAGTGAAATGTAGTGGATCTGTATTAATTAAAAAAAAAGATCAGGACTAGAACTTTGAAAAACTGTAATGAACTTTATGGCGATCTCTCAGTTTTCTAACATAAATAAAAATGACTAGGATGCAAGGACTAGAACTTTGAAAAATTATGAGAGCCATTTCTATGTAGTGAACTTGTATAAGGTTGCTGCAAAGCTCACTGCTTTTTTCTCACACAAGTGTTTGTGTGTGGATTGTATGAGTTAATTGTCACTGGTGAAGTGTTTTTATTTGTTGATGGGAGATGTGTAATCATTGATTTAATATTTTTCAGGTACAAGTTTACACTTTTTAATGAACTATACTTTTTGGTTGCTGGTGGGACTGTATGGATTGGTACTTACAGTATCTTCTTCCCTCTTCTCTTTTTGTTTTGAAGCATCTAATAACTTGCATAATACTCCATGAAATTTACTTGGTGCATGGTGATGCGTTCTAGGAAAACAATTTCACTGCAGAAAAAGATTCACGTGTCTAATGTGTTACTAACGAAGGCAGCATCAGTATTAATGTCGTTACTTGTTACATTTGAAATGTGACCATTAAATTATTGATTAGTTTAATTAAATTAGTACAGATTATTTAGTTATCTACTTTGGACTTTAGAAGTCGTGCAAAATTCATCTATATAAATGTATGGCTGACCATAAAAGTAATAAAACTTCACAAATTATTTCCGCAAAGGAATTTTGGCTACCTATGGTTGAGCATCTGGCCTCGGAACCTCCTATGTGAAAGGACAAATAAATTTCCGGAGTGGGACACTCTTCAACCAAGTAACACATATAACTGTTTTTAGCTCCAAAATATTATTTTTTTGCTAAACCTACCCATCTTATGGGCATTAAGTATGGGGGTGTCATCCTTCTTGTTCTTTGCTCATCCAGGAATTTAAATGCAGATGCACAATGTAGTCAATATATGCAAGGACCTGCGGAGAGCAACAAATGCAATATAACTACTGAAACAGAAGAGGTGGCTCATGCCCACCTTAAAAAGACTGGTGGTAATGGGTCCAAAGGTTGTAGCCAAATTGCCAATTCCTCTAGTACTTGGCTGGGGCCTGTGAATGATGATGAGGATGTTGGTAGGTTTCTATATTTGGAAGGAATAGAATATATTATGTGGTGCACTTATGATGTTCATTTCTATGCATCATTTGCTCTTCTGGCTCTATTTCCCAAAATTGAGCTCAGTATACAGCGTGATTTTGCGAGAGCTGTCCTATATGAAGACGGAAGAAAGGTTCGGTTCCTAACAGAGGGAAATTGTGGCATTCGAAAGGTCAAAGGCGCTGTACCCCATGATCTTGGAACTCATGACCCATGGTTTGAAATGAATGCATATAACATACATGATACGAGTCAATGGAAGGATCTGAATCCGAAGTTTGTGCTTCAGGTGTATAGAGACTTTGCTGCAACAGGAGACTATTCTTTTGCGACTGATATCTGGCCTTCTGTTTGTGCTGCAATTGAATATATGTACCAGTTTGATCGAGACAACGACGGCCTTATAGAAAATGATGGATTTCCAGATCAAACCTATGATGCTTGGACGGTTCATGGAATAAGTGCTTACTGTGGTTGCTTATGGCTTGCTGCACTTCATGCTGCTGCATCAATGGCCTTGCAACTTGGCGACATTGCTTTTGCAGAGGTATGCAAAGGGAAATTGGTGAAAGCCAAGTCAGTCTTCGAAAGAAAGCTGTGGAATGGCTCTTACTTTAACTATGACAGTGGGTCAAGCAGTAACAGTAAATCAATCCAAGCCGATCAACTAGCAGGACAGTGGTACATCGCATCTTCAGGTTTACCTGATCTTTTTGACAATGTAAAAATCCAAAGCACCCTTCAAAAAATATATGATTTCAATGTCATGAAAGTTCAAAATGGGAGGATGGGTGCAGTGAATGGAATGCACCCTAATGGGAAGGTGGATGAGACTTGCATGCAATCCCGTGAAATTTGGTCTGGGGTCACCTATAGTGTTGCTGCCACCATGATTCTTGCTGGGATGGAGGAGCAGGCGTTTGCAACTGCTGAAGGGATATTTATTGCAGGCTGGTCTGAAGAGGGCTTTGGGTAAGCGTCTTTTTTTCATTCAATCTTCAGTGTTTTTTGTTCTTTCCTTTTTTTCCTTCCAAATTCTCAGTAAAAGCCTTTGGAGCAATTGCTACCTACCCTTTGCTAAGCATAATATTAAAGTACCTTTCTTATAATGCTGAAGCGCACATGCCAAACTAGTTTAGATAGCTAATTTGGTGGAGAACGAAGAAAGTCTTCATTTCTGACCGCCATTAGTCCATTAATGTACATATAGATTGTTTTTTCTTGGACAATTTTTTGGGAACAAAAGTACAAAATAGACAGAACTTCTAAATGAGGCTGTTATGCCTTCATATCAAGAAACCACTTCAAAAAGATACAGAGTCATTTTTTGGTGAGTCAGACATGTTAGTTCTCTTTATATAGACATTTTGTCATACATTCATAAAGTTATCACTTATCACTTTAGATGAACAGGCATAAACCTTTCAACATTACTAGCATGAGGTGGGGGTTTCTGATATGGTTGATCCACATTTATGAAATATTGAAATGAATCCACTGTCCAAATAGAAGTAATTAGATACTCCAATTGTCATGCATGCTCTTTTCTCTTGCAGATACTCGTTTCAAACTCCAGAAGCATGGACTATGGATGGCCACTTTCGGTCTTTGACGTATATGAGGCCGCTTTCTATTTGGGGAATGCAGTGGGCACTATCAATGCCCCAAGCTGCTATGGAAGCAGCTAGGATCAATGTAATGGACAGAATACAGACACCGCCTCACAGTCCAAAACCTTCTCATGATTCTGGTGTTAGAAAAAGAGCAACCAAAGCAAAGTGCTTCGGGAAATCTGTGTTCCATTGTGCTTGCTGAATGTTGAGTCTTGGATTTTAGGTTAAAATCCATGTACCGCTTGGGTGTCCTCCTAATTTGCAGTGAACTCCACTTCTTTCCCAAGTCATTTCGAAGTTAAGTTCCCCTCCCCCCGCCCCCCTTTTTTCCTCAAAAATTGTACTAAGTTAATATAAACAATATGAATTAATCATGAATAATTCTAAGTTATGATGAAAAATAACTCTATGAATTAATCATGAAAAATTGTGTTAATTATTTTTCATCATCAATGCGAAATCCCCCCCTCCCCCCGCCCCCCTTGATTCTTCATCTTGTGTTAATTATATTTCATCATCAAGAATCAATTTCTAAGGCCGTTGGAGCATTGTAAGTTAACATTTTCTTCTTTGTATTATTCAACTCCTCGTTACTAAAATGTCATTTTTTTTACATTAAATGTTGTTGATGATTAGTATGACTTGGATAAATTTAGTGAAATTTGCACTAAATAGGACTAGAACGTAAGTCATTTCCCAATGTAGGACTTAAATTTTTTTAATTCATTAAATATGACTTAATAATGTCTAGAAGGAGAAATAATATTCAATAATGATGGACATTTAGTTCAATAATGACTAATTGATAATGACCAAAAGTCCTACATCGGGAAATAAAAACATATGGTTATATATTGAGAAAGTCATTATGTTTTAGTCCTATTTAAATAAATTTCCTTAAATTTATGTGTTGTTACGGTGTTATTGAGTATGATATTTGAGATTATGAATTGGTAATGTGACCTGGGTTAGGATTTAGAATTAGGATCTAACCAATTTAATTTCATTTCTTGTTTAGTATTTGGATTAATTATTAGAAAATTTATTATTCATGATTAATTCATAGAGTTGTTAATCTTATTAATTAATTGAGTTTATTGTATCATGATCTCCTTGGTTTAGTAAATGTGCACCGCTAATTCCTATCATTTCAAAACATACGTCGTTACCCCTCATGGTTCAGATATTGTCATGTCAATGCCCATCTAGACTAAAATATCTTTCAAATATTATAAAAATAGCTCCACTGCTCCTTATGGTTTTGGAAATTGGCACAAACAGTAAATTGGCTCCTACATGTTAGATTTTTTATTCCAAACACAAACCTTTTTATATTTTTTTTAAAACTTTTTTAGAAATGTAGGGTTTGAAAAAACAATTTTTCATTATCTTGCACACAAACTTTTTTCTTCTCTTTATGATAAAAAAAGAAAAAATAAAAACAATAGAGAAAAAGGAGAGGGGGTGCCGATTTCCCAAACCATAGAGGGCAGCAAAGTTATTCACTTAATATTTGATGGATATTTTTTTTAGAGAGACATTGACGTAACAATATCAGGATCATGGGGGGCAACAACGTTAGTTTTAAAAGCATGAGGGGTAATGGGCTAATGGTGCACATAATCACAGGGGGTTTCTAGAATAAAAGCCAACGCTAGAGGGGATGAATAGCGTTTAAAAAAATTGTAGGAATTTGAAACGGAATGAAAGAAAGTAAAGAGTGCATGGAAGGAGCACATCGTATTCTATACTGGTTCACCACAACTTGTGGCTAATCTAGTCTCTTGAGAGACTCTCTCGAAAGTCCTTCTAACTTCGTTAAGTTTAAAGGTGCTCAACAAACCGATACAACTTGAGAGCTCGAGTCACACGAGCTCTCAACGCTAGTTGCTTGGAGATACCGCACTCCAAGACTTCACACGAAAGAACGAAAACTTCCTTCGAACTACAACAAGGAACAAACCTTCCTTCAAGTGTATAAAAACACTTAAACACTCAAGAACAAGACTTATTTATCAAAAACCACGTCTTCGAGGTCGTAAGTCACGTGTTGACCACTTGAGCGTTTTTCACGTGCTTAGAACAATGACCATCATGCACAAGTGGTTTTTATAAAAAGATTGCTTCGGAACCTTTTAAATATGCCCAGAAGTAAAGACCAAGTATAAAATATTGAAAACTACTTGGTTGGTTCAGACGCTAAAAACCGAAGGCCTAACACCGAACGTAGTGGTTTTGGTTTGGGCAAAGACCAGGGGTTTTGGCAACTTAGAAATACTTACGAAAAATATTTATTTGATGCATAAAAAAGGTTTCATGATTTTATAAAAAATATTTTGACTCTTGAGAACTAAGACTTGATTGGATTGTCGGTTTTTTATCACAATAAAACCGACCCAACTAAATCTTCGAATCTTGATCTTGTTCTTGAATCTCTTGGTCTTGTGTGATGCCTCACTTCACTCCTTGAGTTATTCAACGGAACTCTTCATATCCAGAGCAGTTTGGCAATTATCAAAACTTGTAAAAAACGAACACGACTTTAGTTCAACGCACCGTGTTCCAACAATTTCTCCCTTTTTGATAATGACAAACAAGACGGGGATATGCATATGTTTTTTATCTTTTTGAGAAATAATTTTTCCTTAATATATGCATAGCCCTTATCTTCCCCCTTTTGACATTAACAAAAAGATTTTAAAAACATAAAGATTTTATTTATTGAAGGGAAATGTAGAGTACACTACGGAAGCATTATAAAAAACATAACATAAGATAAGTAGAGAAAAGAAAATGAGCCAGAGCTCTAAAAGTCATGGGAGCATGAATCATCCTGAGCTTCCTCTTGTTCTTCTTCTCCATCGCTGTCGCCTTCATCCTCTTCGTCTTCATCACTCTCTTTGTCTTCATCGTCCTCTTCGTCACCCTCTTCGTTCAACCCACTGATTGACCCTCAACTCCAAAGTTTGCAGGGTTGTTGTAAGGAACGCGTTAGGCGCTGGGGTAATTGGCGAAGTCGAAATAACCATGAAGCTCTCAGCTTAATGTATCCACACTTTGAGCCGTCCGGTTGACATTGGAATCAATCTGGGTGAGAGGCAGCCATTTACTCCGAAAGAGACTAAAGGTTTATTGGAGGTGCAAGAGATTTTCGGCAAGGACGTGATGGAGGAAAGGGAACATCCTCGATGCCCGAGAGGAAAGAAGATTCGTCGATCTCCCAATATTTGGTTCCCTTTTGTTTTGGCCCAACATCTGTCTTCATGTTGTACTCATCAAGGATGGCCATGACAAGGAGAGCGTAGGGGAGAGGCTTGTCGTTGGTGATGGCGCCAAACATTTGAGTCATCACAAACTTGCACCAATTGAAGCTCATTGTGAATGATCACATGGAGCGTCTTGGTGTTCTCTTGAGTGAGCGTTGTGTGATTGTACATCAGGGGGTTGAGAATCCGTGTCAAAACAGAGAAAATGAATCGATGCACAAGATTCATGGAAGTGATCATTGGATGGCGGTGCGTGGGTGTAGGGATGAAATTCCCAATGCCGATCTCTTCCAATAGAGCGGCCTTGTTGAAACGAGCCCCTTCTTTGCCAATGTAGTGGTTGAGATCCTCGCCATCACGATGTAGCCCTGTAACACCCTAATCCGTCCAGGTCTGCAGCCCCTTTCGGACTAAAGTATTAACTTGGTAATCGTAAAATTTAAAACTTTTCAAACACTTTTATTTATCACGATAATATTTTTCATAACCTATACAGTGCGGAGTTTTCAATATTGCGGAAGCTTAACAAATCATTATTACAAACATAATTTATTTATGTTCTTTAATTCAAAACCATCACATCCATTCCGACAATCTCGCCTCCGTCTACCTCCAGAATCACGTCACATCATTCTTTCTATTAACCTGCGTGTAGCAAATAAAACATACTACACGCTCAGCGGTGAAGCTGAGTAAGCATATCTAAAGCGTCGAACATCCATATAAATTGAACCCAAATTCATAATCAAATCATTTGATATCATGCAAAAGTATTCAGTTCAAATATACAATAATCAATATTCAACATTCGTCATTCAATATTCATATTCAACATTCAACATCCTCATTCAATAATATCCTTAAACTATTCTTAGTCTAAGGCGAATCTATTTGATGTTTACCAACTCTTAAACGAATTCTAGTTTAAGATATTTAAACTATATTCGAGTTTAAGGTACTCTTAACTAACCCTTAAGCTAGGCCTAGTTTAAGATACAAATTTTCAAAAAGAGGTTTTCAAAATCTTAAACTTACCTTCGCTTAAGGTCATCCAGAAACCGAACAGCGGAATGCTCACTGTCGGGTTGGGTGGTATCCCCAAACGAGTTCCTCTAGTTTGGTTTGTAGATCCCGTACGTACGTTTTAACCCAGGCCACCGAATATTCATAATTATACCCGCAAGGCCTATTTCTAAGCCATCTTAGAGGTCTTCTAGATAGTCTTAGAAA